CACCCTGCCCAACTCACTGCGTGGAGTCTTGGTAGCGGCGGGAGCCGCCTGGGCAACCTAGAAAAGAAAGAAAATCGAGTTAGTCGATGTCTGGAACCCAAGATTAGTGTCTCACCTTAGCCACTGGGGTCGGGGTAGTCGTCGCTCGCGGGGCGCTCGCCTTGCGACTGGCCTCCACCTTTGGCACCGGTTGGGGAGGCACGGACTTGGTCGACTTGGATGATCCGTCCGCGACCTTCTTGATTGGCTAAAAAGCTGGATTAAGGGGCGTGGTCTGGGAAAAAGGAGTCGGCTTACCTTGGGCTTGACGCGGGTCTCGCTGACCTGCTTCTTGGCCACGACGAAATCGCCGGTCTCCTCCCCACTTTCGGAAGTATCGTCCATGACGATAACGGACGGGGCTACAAAAGTATGAGTAATCGACAGAGGGGGCAAGAGGAAGAACGCACTCAAATTCGATCGCGCTTTCCCCTTGGACTTGGGCCCCTGTCAAAAACAAACCAACCATGAGACGAAGGAATCGCGATCGACGAACTGGGTCACTTACCTGAAGGGCCAGCTCGTTGGCCGATGACGCGTCTCCCTCCTGGACCCCCTCGTCGTCGACATCCATCGCAGTGTCGGCGACGGCGGCGGCTTCCTCATCGCTGAGGGACTCGGGTTGCACGGGCTGTGCTTGGATCCGGGCTGGGAGGGACCAGGTGGTTAGTCTAAAGATCAATGAAATAAGACATAGGATTACACACCTACGTGCGTCTTCTTGTGAACGCGCTTGGGAAGTGACCCCTGTGGAATAGGGACCGAGGTAGCGGCTACGACAAGTCAGTACCCGCGACTCTGGTGAATGAAAGGAAAGAGCGACTTACGAGTAGGCGCGTGGGACGACGCCTTGGGCTCCTTTGCAGGAGTCGCCTTGGGTCGCTTCCCCTGCGACTTCTCGCTCGACTTCTTGGCGACGGCGACCTTGCTGCCCGCGACGGCGGCAGGGGCCTGCGGCTTGGAGCCGTCACCCTTCCCCTTCTGCTTGGCAGGCCGGGACGACGAAGGGGCGGCGACTTGTTCGGTTGGAGCCGCCTGGGGGTCGATCAGAACATAGTAAACGAATGAAACAGATTACACGTACGGGTTCGACGACTCGTTTGCGTTTCTTGGGCGGCGACGACTCCTCGACTGGAGCGTTGGTGGTCAAGGGCGTAGACGCCGGCTAGTCCTTACGTGAGTGAAAAGAAGGAAGGCCAAAGCGAACAGGCGCGGCAATCATTGATCGCCGTGACTGCTCGCTCCAGCGGGCTTAGAACGGAGCTCACCTGCTGGATCTGGCGGACGTCGACGGCCATCTGCCGCAACATCATGTTGTAGGCCTCAGGGCTAGGCAGGTGGTGAGTTGGATCGACAAGCCATGAGAGAGACATTGACTAACGGCATGAACTGCCGCCAGTCGATGGCAGGCGGGTTTGCTCCCGGGACAGCTGATTCGGTGACGGCTGATGGACGGTTAGCGTGGTTGAAAAGTCGCGGTAATCGTCCTGGGCGTCACTCACGGTTGTTGTCTTGGGGGCGGGGGCTCTGGTCGGGCGCGGACATGGTGGTCGAAAAGCAAGAGTGTCTCGTACTAGGGAGACTCTCGACCCTGAAAATTGAGGGCATTTATATGGTGAACATGCCGGAAGAAGTTTGATCGCGGCAGATCACGGAAGGAACCGAACAACCAAATGAATAAGACGTGGGAACATAACTCTATGTCTCCGCGGCTTTAATAATAACTGAATAAGACGTCGACTGTTGGACTTAGACCTGACGCAGTGAGACTGTCGCGGGATTGACCAGGAGGTCAAAATTAGTGTTCCTGGGAGATGATAGGCTGGCTACCAGACGCGCTCTGCACCAGCTCTGTAAGGGCGTATTTTTGCGCTTTTTACAGAGTTTACTCTTGAACCACCCGGTGTATCGTGTCGCGGTTGACAGTGTTGCGCTCAGTAGGACTTATGGGTCTACTGCCCAGTCGACGACGGTGGGTAGTGTCGACGATAGCAAGGCAGTCAGACCACTACTGTGGAACTGGTCTTATGAGTCTACACCAGGCTCAGGGCCATTAGTGACGAACGCTTGGACCGCGACCATTCCCCAGAAAGGGATCTGTCGTTGCGTCGACTTCTCAAAAGGGTCATTCTCTGCGGATGGGAACTTGGGCTGAAGGGCTGAGCAATGCGCGACGTTCTCAATAATAGAACTACTACTGGACAGGACTTGGCGTTACGAGACTTAAACCATCTTGTCGCGGCAACTCCCGGTTTTGAGTTGGACGTTTCCTCAGATCATGCCACGACGACGACTTGTCACATGTCAGGATCCATTCGATCACGGGACATTGTGGACGCGTCGCGGTGACACTTCCAAGTGTCACGGCGAGTCGCGCCCATACCCAAACACACTAGAAACCGACACGGTTAGATCCGTGAACCGAACCATGTGGGGGACGACTGGCGTGCCTAGGGCCATACGGCTTCTTGGGGCGCCCACGTTGGTCTCACTTGCCAAGACATACCCGTTGGCCAATCCAGCACGTCGTATTCCAAAAGTATGACGCGGTGGGTTGACCCACATCAAAAGTATCATATGGACTATGGGGCGGGGTCCTGATCACTCAGGACCTGTCCGATCGTTCAACTTTTCAATTACCCTAAAAGGCAACCGATCTTAGATAGCGTAGCTACTATGCAGTTGTACAGGACTTTACTAAGCAGCGTCGTAGACAGTATAAGTAGCACGTCGTCTCTTTGTATTAGAAAGCTTCCCCCTGGACTGTGAATCACTCTCATTTCAGATTGTTTCGTACAATTTGCGTGCCGCGTGATTCCACCCTAAGAAGTTCTGCTACCCCTGCCCGGTCGCGACGAGTTGCTCCCTGAGCACTTGTAGCTACTGTGATTTGAGTTTGAGTTGAGGCATCAGAAAGTCGGATTCGCCGCATCTGGTTTAGTCGCGGCATTTAGTGTCGTCGCCTTTGGGCTTTGTTGAGATCGTTCCACACCTCTAGTTTGGCAGTGCGTCGACTAGTTGTGCTCGGGTTGTTTTGGTCAGTTGGCAGTGCGTCGACTTGAGAACTTTGGTTCCACACTTCTTGCTTGGCAGTGCGTCGACAAGTTGTGCTCGGGTTTTGGACATTGGATATTGGCTGTTAGTTGGCAGTGCGTCGACGCGGCATCTTGGTTCTACTAGTTGGCAGTGCGTCGACTCAGTACTTTGGGTTGTGTCAGTTGGCAGTGCGTCGACTTGACATTTTGGTTTACTAGTTGGCAGTGCGTCGACTTGATATTTGGGCTTTGCGTCACCATCTGGACGCTGTCGCTACAAGGGATCTTAATACTTCGTATTAAGTTCTGACTTGTTATATTGTTGTTTGTGGATTGGATTAGTGTTGGTTGTGTTCGTATAGAAGATATTGGTTGAGATACCATTGTTTGCTATATATATATTCTTGTCGTCGACTTCGTCTCCGCGACTATTGGATCTGCGTCTATTGAGAGTTGTGATACTGGTGCTCTGTCCACCCCGAAGCCCTCGCATCTTTCACACACTGAGAAGCTGATTACGAGGAGTGTGAACGTGTTTTATATTTGGGTTTACTTTCATAGTAGATTCACTTGTGAGCGCGCCCTCAGCATTTCACCGGATAGAATCAATGTGTCCCCACTCTCCGAATAGATTTCCTGGATGGCTTGCTCACGCTGTGGTCTGAAAGCAGTAGTAGAAGATAAATGTATTGTGTGCTCGATACAACAAAGGGCTATTCGGGAAAATATTATACAGAGGATGGGCGAAAATCGAGGGTCGTCGTAGGATGCTCAAGATATCGCCAGGTGGAGACGGCGGTTCAGATCCAAGGCGCAAAGACGGGTTGTTGGTGTTGACGGCGGTATTTGAACATTAGGTTGCAGCGGATCATGTGGCTGTGCAGTCTCAGCCACCCGACCCGCCATCAGTCGGCTGTGATCGAGCGCGGGACGTCCACCGGGGGCCCCTCCCAGCCAGTAATCCGGGGAAATTGTCTGTGAGGGAGGGACTGGGACGGCATTCTCGCTCTGGGCTGCGATCGCTGTGGTCTGTAGGGGATCAGAAGAAACAGTGATATATGTCGAGTACGCACTGTTGTGTCCCAGCGCGGAATTCCGAGTGGTCTGTGCAGGTCGAACACAAGGCTGTAAATACGCACCGGATAGAATCAATGTGTCCCCACTCTCCTAATAGATTTCCTGGATGGCTTGCTCACGCTGTGGTCTGAAAGCAGTAGCAAAGGATAAGTATATTGTGTGCTCGATACAACAGAGGGCGGTTCGGGAAAAAAATATACAGAGGATGGGCGAAAATCGAGGGTCATCGTAGGATGCTCGAGATTTCTTCCGGTGGAGATGGCGGTTCAGATCCAAGGCGCAAAGACGGGTTGTTGGTGTTGACGGCGGTATTTGAACATTAGGTTGCAGCGGATCATGTGGCTGTGCAGGCCCATCAACGACACAGGCACTCACAGCAAGGGGCGGCGGGTCTTGCAGCTCGTGAGTGTCGGTATAGTCGCGTAATAATGTCGGCAGCATGTATGAGGACTCGCAGATCGACTCGGCTCTGCGACTGTTCATTGAGTCGTGCCGACTCATAACGAGTCGTTGCGACTCGCATCTTTTTTCAATGAAAAAAGATCTTCTGTTTTCAATGTCTATTCTTCGCGGGAATAGACGTCTGTTCTTCGTGAGAATCGGCATTGAAAAAAGAAGATCTTTTTTCACTGAAAAAAGAAGATCTATTCTCAGTGAAAATCGATAAAAAAAAAGATCTTCTATTTACAGTCCTGTTTTTAGGAGGAATAGACGTCTATTCGTGGTAAAGATCTAGCCGTAAATCGACGTCTATTCTCAATGTATAATTTTTGTCTGAAAACAGAACGGTGAAAATCGAACTTCTAGATTGTCACGCATTTTCCACGGAAAAAAAATAAGTCCCCCCGCAGTGATGTTGGCGACAGAGCTGAATTCTCATGGGAAGACAAGACAATGGTGATCTCACAAGGCTGCTTCATGGACGCTCCCATGCAGAAAAATGGCCAATCTCGAGACCCAACGAATGGACCTCAATGAACGATCCTGATGGCTACTTTGGGACACGCAAGCGACAAGCTGCTCAGAAGGGCAAACAGAGAGGCGCCTCGGATCGTGACGAAGACGATTCAGATGACGATAAACCAGTAGGTAGCTCTCCCGCCGTGACTGCCCTTGCCATTCCCGAGGTCCTTGAGGACGAGGACGACGCTGAGTGTGAATTGTTAAAAGCTAGACAGAACATGTATTCTCCATGCATATGTGAGCGTACTCGGGGAAAGCTGGACCTAGACAGAACGTGTATCTAGTCTGAGTATTCAGCCATGACGTTCTCTTCTCTAATCCGGCAAGAAGGCTTACCTTAGTACGTGGGTGAGCACTGAGCATACTGAGGAGAAACCCTGTGGGACGATTCGCCGCGACCATATGGCCCTGCCGATCTGGCGAGTCTATTTGACAGCAACTGTCAAGCCCAGTTACAAGAGTTTGCAATTTTCCGCCCTTGGGGTTTCCTTTTTAGGATGGACCGTTTCGGGTCTTTCACCGACCGTGATTGATGGCAACACCGGCGACATATATATGTATCTTGGTTTTATTCTGTTGCCTTCAAGTAAATTCGATAAAGAACAATACCAAGGGCCTTGAGCGCCTGTACTTCTATAGAATCCTGCAGTAGTAAATGGGACATGCTATTATATTGTTGAATGAGGTCTAGAAGTATTTCTATAGAAGTCCGCTGTAGTTAAGTGAACATGGGGGGGATATGCTTGATTATACTGTTGAATGACGTCTAGAAGCTTCGTGATAGCATCTGGTGAAGCTCGCTCGGCTATAATTGCATCTGCACCGGAAGGTGGCGGCGCTGGCACCTCATTCGACTCGGAGATCACCTTGGACGCGTGTTTCCGTTTCCGAGCACCCTTGGCCACCACTCCCATAACTTCCGCCGTTTCGCTCCATGTCCCACGGTTGGGAGCGATCTTCTTTCCTTGCGGAGGCAAGATCTCCGCTCCGTTGGTGATATCTGAGAGAGCATCACTCAGCCGCTCGAGATGCTGGTAGAGATCCCGAGGGAGAGTCGACTTTTGGCGACGTAACACGTCGATCTTCGATGAAAGACGTTGCAGAAGGGCAGCGTCCCGAGGCATCACAAGAGAGGGCGGATCAAATGCACTGAATACAAATTGAGACATCAGGGAACTGGTTCAGGTTGCGGAGAGGGATGAGAGGAGGAGAGGAAGAGCAGAAATGAAGACAATGAGATCTAGTACACATTATCGAGCGTGTATTGTTCACTAAATCCAACAAATTCACTCGATTTCACTCTGTCAAAGCTCCCCGGATCACCGGGATCACGTGCAGGAGACCCAACCCAAAACGGAAACCCCAAGGGCGGAAAGTCAAAAACTAGTTACAAGTGACCCAGCATTGTCTCTCGCAACACTCCTCAATCGTAACTGGGGGTCATGCCCATCTTCTCTCTGAACCTGAAGAAGCCGGATGGTTGTAAGGCTTTGGTGAATATGTCGGCGACGTTGTCGTTAGTCGTGACATCCGTGAGATGCACCAGCTCGAGATCGCCCTTTCCATCATACGCCAACTCAGGAGAGACCGTGGATCCCCAAATCCGGATCTCAAATCAGATTCATAGCGCATGGCTGTCCATCAGCCCGTTTTCAGACCGGTGAAAAATACACTATATTTTGTACAAGAAGAACCGGTTTCCGGAAACTGAGAAGATTAGATCTTCGCCTTGTCTACGACCGGAGTGACGGGTCTCGCGTCCTTCTTCCAGCTGCCCTCCTTCCGCGACGCAATCTCGTCCTCCGAGACGACATGCCCATCGACGCCCTCCTCGAGCTCCCTCGCCACCGCCGCAAGCCGCGCGGCATCCCGTCCGATGAGGCTGACGAACACACCTTGCCCAAGCACAGGGTACGATCCAACTTGGATTCTGTCGGCGTTGACGCGCGATTGGAGCGCGGTGAGGAACGGCGCGATCATCGTTTCGGGTCGTCTGGGAGGCGTGTCAGGAGCGGTATCCTTGCTCAGCACAGGAATCTATCCGCATGCTGAGTAGTAGTCTCCACTCACTCAGTGAATATCTGCACCCGGCTCGGGCGCTCGGACGCAGGCGGGAGCGGCAGTAGCGGTGTTAAGCCGTTCAGGAGCTTCTGGAATAGGGTGGGGATGCCGGGGAAACTGCACAGCTTTCCTTCGAGACGGACCACGGGCTACAGGGATGGTTACCTGCGGCGCGGAGGAGGAGATACAGCTCGGCTTATGACACACCACCCAGATATCGCCCGCAACAAAGAGGACTTCCGCACGGTCGGGGAACAGCGCCATGCGTTCCATTGCGGTCTTTTGCTCCGGTGTTTGCTCTGCGAACCTTCTGCGTTGGTGGGATAGTGCCGCCATCCGCGCCAGTGTCTCAGGATGATGCACGAGCTCTTGCCCGAATGCCTTCGCGAGAGAGGCATACGTGATGTCGTCATGCGTAGAGCCTGAGAAGCTGGAGGGTGAGCTGTTGCGGAGCAAGTTGGTGAGAGGATCTGGACAGACCGATTCCTCCAGTTGTTATCACGAAGTCGTAATTATTGACCATTCGTCGACTCGCTTCGACGCTGAAAAGCGCCTCTATGAGAAATGATACGCATTGCCTTGCGCATCGTACATTTGTGCCTCATCATCCGCGATGACTTCGATGCGTTTTCTGAGGGACTAGGGATGAGTGAATGAATGCACCCCGCACAAACGAACGCACAACTCGACCCCATGCTGGAAGCAATACCGGGCGAAGTAGTTCGAGTTGCTGTCGTGGGTTTTCCCGTTCAGGATCTCGTCTCTGTAGCTCCAAGTTGTCCGGCGTTGCGACGAGCAGATGCCAGTGGTGCGTACCCGATGACGAGCGCAGCCGCAGTGCGAATATACTTTCCGTCCCCGAGCGGATTCGGAGGAATCGGGGAGATAGAGAAGGCCGGCTGCCCATCGGCTGATGATGAAGAGGCGGGGTCAGACATCGGGGGCTGCGAGAGTGCGCGATAGAGTAGGAGGGAGTTTGGTCGTGTGCGAGGGAGGGTAAGGGGGTTCAGAGAAGTTCGGCGGAGAGCACTTAACATCGAAGGCTTGATAAGAGCAGAGAAAGTAGACCTTAGAATCGCATTCCGAGCTCCTGCACGACTGAGGAAACCTGGGGAAGCTATTCGCCGGTGGATTGCCGACATGATGATCTCAGGCCACGTCAAATTATCACGGTCACGAGGTCTGTGGTCGGAGTCTGACCGGGCTGAGTATTCTGCGCGGCAAGTCACCCATAACATCTCTGGATTTGGGCATTTCGCGAGAAATTGAGACTGGAAACGATGGTGAAGGACCTTGAAATAAACTCGATCTCCCCGTCCTTGATCTTGTTGCTTACTAGTTTATGTCGAATTGGGGCTACGATTACAACAAGTCTTACGATACCACAGCTTTCAACCGCGCCAACTACTGTCCGGCGATGCAGGACAAAGCTTCTGTACCCGAAAAAAAAAGTGATAGGCGGGCTGCTGAGCTGACGACATCAGCCCAAATTTCGCTACACTCTGCTTCACATGCCGCCAATGCGCCCTGTCCCTCGCACGCAACATGAAGCCAGTCGCCGTCTGGCCCGGCCTAGCCTCATACGTCTCGAGCACCGATCGACCGCAATCTTGCCCAATGCGACACAAACAGCATCACGTAGTCTCCCCCGGATAGTTTGGACATTCGATCCTCCACGTGCCATCCGCCCAGCGGAACACGATCTGGTAGCGGTCGCTAGAGGATCGCTGATAGATCCGCTGGAGGCCGGTGACGAGCCAGTTTGGGGGTTGCCGGACTTGGGGTGGGTGCTACCGCACAACTGAGCGACATGTTGCGGCTTCCACTCGCTGAGAAGGGTGCGTTCATTGTAGGAGAGGAAGGGAAAGATGGTCGGCCGAGTCGAGATACATACAGAAATGAGCCACGCTGAATCATTGTTCGTCATTAGGGCTGAAAGCATGAGAGGGCCATCTCAAGGTCCCGCTTATCCCCTCCGAGTGTATGCGCGAGAACAAGCAACGATCATAAAGAGCTCACTGCGATTTAGCGAGCCAGAGATACCGTCTGTATGTTCGGACTTGACGGGCATGACGAGTAACGTCAGAGATCCAAGCATCCGAACAAGCGGCGGCTCCAGCCATTTCACTCAGGCAGTCCCCCATAAAATAGAGAAAAAGAACCGGTGAGAGCCCTGAGCACGGAGTTGAGTTAGCTTTAAAAACGAGGTATGGCCAAACTTGAGGACTGTGGCGAGTCCCGTCGCACATGAAGGATCGAAGCGAGCGACGATGATTGTCATTCCACCCGGTGAGTTTGCAAAGGCTTGCGTGAGCGGTAGGCAGAGAGCGCAGACGAGCGATTCGGCCCTGAAGATGGTTGTATCAGGCAGTCGAGACTGGGGGTGATGGCGTGCTTGCGACTCGTGAAGTGGCCGTGTCACAATCATGCTGTGCACAATCATTTATGGCGGAGGGATTGCGCTGCCGAACAGCACTGACGAGGAAGCTCGTTACGGCGCTATGCAGCTGGTGGTCTCCTCTCTCTCAGCCGTCGAGTCTCGACATAGGATTGTTCCGCAGTCAGATTGTGTGCGCCCTTTTTGCTTGATGAAGAAACTTGATCGACCGGCTTAGGAGGCTGGAGCTGAGGGTACTTCAGGGCGGCTTTGTGCATAGACGGAGTGAATTCTGTGACAAACGTGGACCCTGAACGTCTGTCTGTTCAACCACCATGTTCCGCGCTGCCTTTGTCGCTCTCGCCCTCGCGCACTCTGCTTGCGCAGTGATCTTCGTCAGATTTTCTGCTTGAGCTGACCTTGTGATGTGGAGCTCATTTTTTTTTGTCTGTGTATAGTTCACTGCCCCGACCGCCGCCATTGGCTTCACCGCTGGCCAGAACGCAACGATCACCTGGACCGACGACGGCGTCTCGCCCACCGTTGCCGAGTTCGGTCTGGCCAAAGCCTCCATCTCCACCGGAAACTCTGCCTCCCAAGTCTGTCCTGTCGTCCTACCCCCGTTGCCATGTCTTAATCCGATGTTAGACCGCTCTCCAAGTCATCTCTGCCAGCGTTGACACGAAATCCATGTCCCTATCCTTCATCCCTGATGCCACCATTGGCCCTGACGGAAACCAATAGTCAGTCCTCACTTGCCTGGCTGCTTGCAGAAACTGATATCCGGTCTCAGCTTCATCCGTTTTGACTCCCTCAACCTGAAGGATGCCAAGGACGCCTCCATCCCCGCGCTCGCCTTCTCCCATCAATTCAGGTGCGTAGCCCATGTCCCCCTGTCACAGGTATCTCAGCCTGATCACTTCTACAGTCTCTCGGGCATGTCTGGAACGTTCAACGCAGCCGTCCTGTCCCAGATCGCTGGGCAATCGACAGCTCCCATCGGTGGCGGAGTCCCAACCGCCGCCGCTCCGTCGAGCTCTGCCACGGCCGCACCCGTCTTTGTTGCATCTGCATCTGCGTCTGCAAGCAAGGCGCCGACGTTGACCACCAGCAAGGCCGTCTCTGCCGCGTCTGCAACTGCCAGCAAGAGCGCCTCCGCGGCCCCTGTGAAGGGATCCAGCGCAGCCGTGCCCTCCTTCGTGGCCTCCCAGCCGAGACTCTGGCTGGGCATCGTCACAGGTGTTTTCGGAGCCGCTGTTGGCGCCGCTTTGCTGTAGATTGATTATCTATCGATATACATAGCTCTCAGATCTCAGTAATGGCATTATCTCTCTGGATCAGGCAGCTGTGATCAACCAGCATACGAGACTCGAGTTCGTAGGAATCGAGTCAGTGTTCCCACATCATGAAATGTACTCAAGGGCCTGGTTTCAGTGATTGTATGACTATCATCCCTCGAAGTTGTAGTTCTAGTGTCATCGAAGTAGCCACATGCGTTTTAGCACCACATTGCACATTGACATGGACGCACTAGACGACATATCGTGCGGTAGATAGTCACTACTTGGAGGATCTCCGCTTTAGGTAGTGGTCACGGTCAAAGCTAGGATTTGCATCCAGATTAGGAAGGAGCGCACTATCTCTGTTAGCGTTCGAACTGGACGCCAAAGGATGTTTGGCGCTTGATCAATCGGACCCAGTTGCAGTTCACCGCAACCGCAACCGTGCCTGAATGACATGTATTTGGTCTTCTCATGACCGTGTTTCGGGCGGAGATCGGTCCGCGAAAGCAGTGAGGGGATGTATATGAAGCCTCGAGACGGCCTATTCCGCTCCTCGGCATTTCGAATTCTCGGTCACACGACGCACAACACTCCGAGGCTGGGCGTTTCGAATTTCAGCAGCAGCTTCTTCTTCGATTTCGGAGGCCGTCGTGTCCAGAGCAGAGCAGCGACGACTTCTTCAGAAACGCAGATATGCCCTATGTGGCAGGTCTGTGCTCAGATTATAGAGCATCCAAAAAGACGATCTTGTTCGCAGGACGGCTAGGATCAGGAACGATAATCAGGGCCGCATGCAAGGTGGATAAATTGACATCAGCACACAGCGAGTGGCGGATTCTCGTGGAAATGGTGACACGTCGAACACAGCTCCGCGCAGCAGCAGATAAGGCTCGGGTTGCTGAAACAGTCGGCGACGAAACGCCAGCACAGTATCAGAATGCGACCACGCGCAGATCACCCATCAAAAGGCTGTTGAGATTGCCTCGAAACGCGGCACAAAAAACCGCAATGGACACCGACGAGAGTTTGCACGAGCGCTGGGCAGACGAAGTGTGGACGTAAAAGCGATGGGATGACACTGACGGGATAAATATACATGCTTGGCCGGCGGAAGGGGCGATCTGAATCTCTGATCTGCCTCCGTCTCCGTCATCGCGATTCGCGATTGCCATTTCCAAAATGCGGGGTACCCGACGCGTCCGCTGCCCGAATCGACGTCGCCGCCGCCGTCGTCCCGGCATGTGCACTCGGTGGCCTGCTGGTGGCCAGTGACAAGGCCCAGTACGTGACGTGACACTCGTGACGCACCACTCTCTCCGCCAGACGGTTGTTGATTCTACGGTCCAGTCGGAAGCTACCGAGAGTCTAGCTGTGTGGGCTCTCCTTTCAGCCCTGCACATCAAAAAAGGCCAGCTTGGACCGGGCACGACGTAAGCTTTGCTTTATCTTCACCCATCATCCATCCGCGCGTTTCCCATGTCCATATACCGGCTGCGAGGCGCGTGTCTGACGCCGCCGTCCAGGAACCTGCACACGAACTCTACTACACAACGTATTCCGATACGATGAACATGACCGGGGGCGGAGGCGGCCCTTTTGCCGGCGGCAGCGGCGGTGGCATCAATCCCGCTATGCTCGCGTCGTACGGTCGGCAGCAGCAGCAGCATCAACAGCAGCAGCAACAGTTCGGAGGAGGAGCCTCGATCAGCCCTGCCCAGCTCATGAACGGAGGCATGGGGATGGGCATGGGCGGTGGAGGGATGGGCATGGGTATGGGCATGGGCAACGCTGCTGGGATGATGGGCCCGTCTCAGCACTCGATGATGAATATGGCCATGAACGGCGGTGGCGTCGGCGGGGGAATCAGCCCTGCCGCCCTCCCATCCCCTATGAATGGCGGAGGTGGCGGGGGTGGAGGAATGAACCCTGCGTCGTTCAATCTCATGGGAAACTCCGGCCTAAATCCCAGCCTCGCTCACGCGCCGCCCCAGATGACTGGCCCCACACCGAACCAGAATCCGATACCGCCCCAGACGCTACAGATTCTCGCGAACATAGGTGTCTCGCGCGACCAGCTCGCGCAGATGAACCCGCAGGAGCGCCAGATGACGATCAAGAACGCGAACGCGATAATGATGCGTCAGCAGCAACAGCAACAACAGTTCGCGTCGCCCGACATGGCGAATGGGTTCTATGACGGGATGGGCATGTCAGGGATGCCTAGCCCCTCCTCTATGGGCGGAGGGATGGGCATGGGGGCTGGTATGGGTGGAGGGAATATGGGAATGGGAGGTGGCATGGGCGGAGGCGGCATGGGCATGGGAGGTATGAACATGGGCATGGGCATGAACATGGGAAACCCAGGAATGGGCATGAACTCCAACAATCCCATGGGCATGGGCCTAGCGGGTGGTGGGATGGGCGTCGGGGCTCATCCCATCGGGATGGGAAGTATGGGTATGGGAAATGGTGCTATGGGTATGAATATGGGAAATGGCAACATGGGCGGTCTGGGCATGAACACGGGAGGAGGGATGGGCATGGGTAATATGGGTGGCGGAAACATGGGCATGATGTCTCCAGCCCGACCTGGCACAGCTCAAGGGATGTCTCCACGATCTGCTAGCTCGATGGGCATGGGCATGGGTGCTGGTTCAGCCGATTTCCCACATCAGAACGGGTTCCAAGGCGCGAAACATCCTCATCCACAACCATTCGGCGCTTCCGGCTTCGGACCGGGTGGTGGAACCCCGCAAGACATTCCTGCGCCCGGATCGCCGTTCAGCACGCTCAAACGAAAGCTGACAAACGAAGCTTCGACTGCGATACATCCTATGGGTATGCCCACCAGGTCCGCCTCTTTTACAGAAACAGCCAATGGACTACCGATGAATACCCCACTTCGTCCTCCATCGGCAACCAGCTCTCAGCCAGATGCTCCGCGAAGAGCAAGCCCACACCGTCATCGCTCAGCGTCGCCTGTCAAAGCAGGTCCTTCCTCCCGCGCAGAAAAAGCTCTTCCTCAGCGCGTACCGCCACTCGTGGGGCCGTTACCTGCGTCTGTGGATCTCAATCCTGCGACCACCAAAGTCACCGTCGTCCCATTGTCGACTTCGCTGACGACCATCCCTCCGCTCAGCCAATCTGAAGTGCAAGACGTCAAAAGCTGGAAAAGCACTGATCAGGCATACGCCTCGTTGCTGAAAACGATGAAAACGCGCGCGACCACTGAGATGCAGGAGATCTTTGGAAACCAGAAAAACTTGCCTTGGTGGACGAAGGGGTCGCTGGCGAGTAACACGAGCCGGTTCATGCGAGCCAGGGAGCCCTTTGATGTGCGCTATCCGCTGCGGAAAAAGGACGGTCGTGAGGGCGCTCGGAGAAAAGGTGCTCGCCGCGAGGGGATTCGACTGTAAGTAGAGATGGCTTGCATGATGGACGCAATGCTCACTCGACTACCCAGTCCCAGAAGGCTTGACCCGGAAGATGCGGACCGACCGGAGCTCCTGGTCCCCATCCGACTGGAATTCGACGTCGAGCATCACCGGATGCGGGACACATTTGTGTGGAATCTGAATGGTGGGTTGTTCCAGACGGCGTGTTAATCCCCCTGCTCCAATTGCTTCTAGACCCGGTGATCAGCCCCGAGCTGTTCGCCCAAACTCTGGTAGAAGACTACAATCTGACAGGCAGTTATCATGCGACGATCGTCAAGTCGATACAGGACCAGCTCAGCGACTACCGAGCGCACTCAAGCAAGTTCGACGGTGACAGCTGGGATGTCAGAGGAGATGAGGAAGACACGCTCAACGCGGGGTCCCTCCAAGGTGAGAGCAGTGCGTGGTGGAGTGCCTGGAGAAAGCGCCTCAGGAGTCGGAGAATCGAGAGTGACCTGGACGACGACCGTCCGATGTCTCTGGAAGAGTTTGCGCCCAACTACAAGTCGGCGGCAGAGGATATGCGGATTGTCATTAAAGTGAGTGGAGTGTCACCCGTGGCCCGTTTGAAGTATTCAGTATGAAACAGCTCGATATCCTTGTGGGGACGATCAAGCTTGACGACCAGTTTGAGTGGGACCTCACCAATGCGGATGCATCCCCAGAACAGTTTGCGGCGATCTACACTCGGGATCTGGGGCTGAACGGAGAATTCAGCACTGCCATCGCGCATTCCATTCGGGAGCAGGTCCAGATGTACCAAAAGTCGCTGTTCCTCGAACAGGACGACAAGGACGACGAGCTGCGCAGTGCTTTCCTGTCCCGATTGTCCACTGCGGCACGCCCAGTCGATCAGGTGGCGTCGTTCACACCTCAGCTCAACTATCTGTCGGATGGGGAGCCGGAACGACATCACGAGAAGGACCGCGACTCTTCCAACATCAATCGTCGCCGTAAAAAAGGCCGGAAGCGCGGCGCCAATCTGGATCCGCTGCGAACATGCCGAACTCCTGCACTCGGGTTCCCTGAACTCGACGCTGCGACGCTGGCTGCAGTCGCGGCTGCTGCAGCCCCTGTTTCTCGACGAGCTGCAGCTGCTGCTGCATCGCGCACAATCGCGAACATGGTTGCGTCAGAGAACGAGAACGGGGAACATGTGTTCACACCTCTCCCCGCGCTGCCTGCACCGCCACCTTTGATCATCAAAGAAAAGACGGTCAAGGGCTTGTTCAAGGCACCCGCTTACAAGCCAGAGATTATCCTACGGGCACGTGCAAAAGTACGGGCGCCGATCGAGTCGACTGCAGTCGATCCATCGCTGCTTCCTCCACCGTTACCAGATGATCCGCCGCCCATGGCTGTGCCAATGTCACGGCAGCTGATCTCGAATGGTGTGTGGCACTGCCTGAACTGTGGCTGTCCAGAAAGCATCGCGGTGGGTCGCAGAAAAGGGCCACAGGGCGACAAGACTTTGTGTGGGACCTGCGGGAAGTACTGGCATCGGCACCGTCGGATGCGCGAGGTACCGTACAATCCCGATGTGGAGCACCACAGCAAGATTAAGCACGACGCCGAGGCTGTCAAGAGTGCCAACGCGAGTCGCCGTGGTCGCCAGCAGCAGCAGCAAAAACAGCAGCAACAGATGAATCCCTTGCTGAGGGATTTATCCCCGGTCTCGGACACGTCGAGTGTCGACGACCTTCCGCAGGTCAACGGCGGAAACAATCGACTGGTAATCACCAGTTCCCCGCTGACGCATTCGTCGCCGCTGCCGGAAGAGTCGACACCGGAGAAGTCGGTGCCTGCTTCGGTCGAAACTGCGGTCGCGGACGTTCCTGAGCCGATGGTCGTTGTGGAAACTGTGCCGCCGGTTGTGGAGCAGGTCGAAGTTGTCCCGGATTCATCTGTCGCGACGATTTGGGTCAGTTCATCTCCCAGCCACAAGCAGCCTTGTCAAGTTCTAATTCAATCTGGCAGCCACCAACATGGTTGACAAAAGCCATCGCGCAACTGCAGGCCAAGTGGGAGAACGACCGCTTCGACGTAACGCTGCGCAAAGTCAACACCTCGAGCGACCCGGAGTGGAGGATCAAGTGCATGGATTGCCCGGGCAAGGTACGTTGCGTGTCAAACTGATCCGTCCTGTTCTGCGGCTGACCAGCCGGGATGCAGTTGTATACTCCTGGTCCCGGGGAGACGCTGTCGAACTTTGAGGTGCATCTGAAGAATCGGCTGCACCGGCAGCGCGTGGCCGAGCGGATCGCGAGTGTGAACCAGGCTGTGGGTTCGGTGTGAGGGATTCAGAAGGATCTTCTATCTACATACTTGATTTGGAGGGGGGGAGGTATCCTAGTTGTGCTGCTACGTGTCTCTGTTATCGAGCTTAGCTTTGTGTATTGTTTTCATCTGTGTCAATTCCACTCTGTCTTGGATGCCTGCAAGTCGGACCTGTCAGTGCACATAATGACTCTTGACGCCCCTTGTCGATTTGTTTCGCCAGTGCCTCGTCGTGGAAGAGCACTCTGGAACTCTTGTCGGTGTGCATTATGCTGTACTCGAGCGATGTGGAATACGAGCAAGTCCGGCGTTTGCGTTCTCCCCACGACCGTCCGAGCACCTCCAGGTCTCTCAGAGGCTCGTAACGCTGCCTCGTGCTTGTAAGCTTGAATGGCTTGACAGAATACAGAACTTCTCCGGTCTGAGCCGTCTGCCCGATCTCGTCGCTGAACTCAGTCCGCTCTGCAACGGACTTTCGGGATCGATAGACGATCGTTCGTGGCTCCAGGCCGGTCCTCGTCTACAGGACGCACAAGTCGGTTCTCAGCTCCGAGAAGTGATAGAGATTATCATAGCGCAGGACCAGCAGAAGAATTATTGATGTATTCAGTGGAGTCAGATCCCCCATACGTGGTAACGCCGGCCTCGTCGCCTGGCTTGGAATCAATCGCTCGTTGAGGGGCAGCTATCTGATTCAGTTGGTAACTTAGATTCATTGTGGCTGAGCTCAAGACAGACTTGGAAGCTCGACTCCAATACGATTCGTACTCCTGGTATGCCTGGGTTGGAGCTCTAATCGCTTCCACCGAGTCGTTTAATGAGGCGACACCCGACCGGCAAATGCCTATGGAGAACCCCAAGTCCGCTATATCAGCGAAGAATTGGCAGTCTCGCTGGCGAAATTCGGCGAATCGGCGGAAATACAGTCACTCGTGTTCACTCGCATGGCATCTTGACGCATCGGTGAATAATGAAAAGCCCATTTCAGCCGACCGTACTGACTGCCGTCTGCGACGACGTTAGGGCTCGAACACCGGGCAGTTTCGCATGGCTCGAGTCGAAATATATACTCGGAGCCAGCCACAGCCATGAACACATATCTCAATGCCATCTCAACTCTGTGATAGCTTGTTCAGACGTTCGATTGATGCTGATTCTTGCTGTCGAAGCTTCTCCTCGAGACAAGACACTAGAAGACAACCCTGGGAGACAGAGTCCGAAATACCAAGCCGATGCTGTCAGTTATAATTCCTCGGACAGGATGTGGTGGTGTCAGAGTGTTCAAGGTTTTTTGAAAGCAACCTGCATCAGGCCACGGCCCCAAGTTCCGTAATGTGTTAGGGATATAATATTATCTGCGGTATCTTTATCCGAGGGACTGCTGCTGAATTTTGCCGTGGAGCTCTCATGGAATGCCTATTCATCTCAGCATCTCTGACAACTCCCGAGATGTTGGAGAACAGATCTCCTGTCGCTAGTCCAAGCGAGGTCTGTTTGAGAAAGCGATCGCGAGAATTCTCATCGCGTCGGAGCCGTCAGTGGTCGCATATTAGTTGCCTACCGAGAGCATGCCAGTGGCCCGTGAGTGTGATGAAGAATATTGATTAGTTCAACTTGATTTTATAGAGGAGGAGAAATTGCGCAAAATCTCTCATTCTAGCATGCAAGGCACAGTGCTGGAAGGTTGGAGGACGTCTTCAGTCCCGACGAAACCTCGGATAAGATTCCATCACTGCATCAGGATCCACTAATCGACCGTGGGAAACGTTGTCATGTCAGTCCCCGTTCCTGGACACATCCCTGGCGACTGCCATTGGAGGCTGGACGGGCCTGTATAGCCACGCAGTAGGGCTCCCTGTAGATCTTCACTCCGCGCTTCAGTTCAACCGATCTTGTGGAGCTCATTTCGTTGCAATCTCTGCCTATACACGGCCCCGATGACTCTGTTCTCAAGATTTCATCCATGGGATGAACACCAGACACTCCATTTTCACCAAATGGGTCTAAAGTATGCATATAATTTTGTAGGCGGCGCTTTTTGCCGCCCCTCTGCCGAATATGGAATTGCCGAGACCTAGACACATAAATGGCTGGTGCCTTTGGCCTCGTTTCCACCACGCGCGACACCATGTCCCTTGCCTTCGACCTATCCCAGCCACCACTCCAGGTCAACCTACCGCCTGTCCGCGCACTGAACGTGCCGCGTCGCCTGACCTTTCCTGCCGCGGCCGAGCCTCTCTCGGTGTCTCGAACGCGCTATACCTCAGCACCCTGGCATGCGCACAAACCCCCTCTGCGTGTAGATGTGGATGCTGCATCGGCGCGCCCCCGCGTGCGGCCGCTGCCCCAGATCCCCGTGTCACCCGCCCCCAAATCGGCCCCAGCTGGCCCGCGGCGGCAGATGTCCCACAACTCACTGCGCCCACTGCCCAGCGTGCCCGAGCTACGCCCAACGCCACCCTGTCCGCCCGCGGCTGTCATGTTCTCTGTCATTCCTGCAACGCCGATCCCTCCCCCCACCCCCATCACAACCCCACGCCCGGACCCGGACGCGAATTTGGGCGCGAGCACGAGCACGCTTCTAGTTCCTGCGCGCGAAATATCCCTTCCGCCGCGCTTCGCTTCGCTTTCTCTCCGGCTCGATACATCGCCAGACGCACTGCAGCCGGCGATGCACGAGATTCATCAGAGCTCGAAACCCCTCCCCGTGGTTCCAGCATCCCCTGTTTCGACCTGCTCGATCATCATGGAGCCCCCTACGCCCACGACCGCGCACCGGAAACGCGTGTCGAAGCTGCGCCGGCATCTGGGTGAATCTATCCAGCTGGAGTTATTTCCTCCGGATGCGAAGGGCGTGGTCACGCCCTGTACTACGGATGTGTACGCGCAGACCGTCGTGGCGGTCAAGCGCCTGTTGGACATCGATTCGTGCGAGGACAGTGGAGACTCGAGCGACGACAACGACGACGACGACGTGGACGGCAGCGAGGTCTCGAGTCGCTTCTCGCTTGTGCTGACACACGGGGCCGTCCACCGCACTGTCCCCGTCAAACGCTTCTCTCGAAAGTGGGTCCGCGAGAAGGGGGGTGAACGTTGGATCGAGGAGAACTACTCTAAGATACTGAACGATCTTCGTTCGCTATGATTCGCTTATTTTTATACTATGTACTACTAAATATTGATACCACCGTCTGGAAGCATTGTAGCTTTACCTGTAATTGCCCCTCGTGGACTCCATCACACAGCCCATCGCGGCAGTCCTCAGCTTGTCTTTTCTTGACTAGCGCGTGTCTCTAGAGCTTCTACCAGTCTCCGGGCTAGACCCGGAGTCAGCTGCGTCGGGCCGTCTGCTGTGCATAATCGGTATGCAGGCATTGCTGCGGCGCCGGTCAAAATCAGAATGCGATGTACACAGTCAGAGTTGACCCCGACCTTGGTACGTTTCTGGCTGTATCTTGCCCTCATCCACGAGAACCGACGCGATGATGTCGTCCGGGTCGCCGATCCGACCTAGCGCAGGCACGTTCCGTTCGTCTGACCGTGACGTCTGCATTAGTAGAGCGCGACACCGCCTGGGACGAGAAACGGACCGTGTATATGCATCCAGCCGCTGCCCATCTGGAGCGCCGCGTTGGTCTGGACATCATCGACACCCTGCTTGAGTGCTTCCGAAATAACCTCATGGAGTAGGGTGCGGAACCCGGCTTCAGAATTCGTCACAAAGAGGAATATCAACATGAGGACGATTTCATTGCACGGGGGAAACCGACTAAACACGTACGATTCTCCTTGAAGTCATTCAGCCCAGCCTCAGCTTCCACCTCCGACGTCGCAGGTAACCAGCCGATGACCGTACTTGAAGTCGCGGAGGGAGGCGCAGAGGGGAGGAAGGTCAGCGCGAATGCGGGTGCGGAGTCGGAGAGCGGGGTCGGGGGGTGTTGGAGGTGATAGTGGAGGTCCGTGCGTGTGGGATCATTTATGGTTTCCGAATAGCATCGTCTAGAGACTCGCAAAGGGAGCAGCGTGTTGCGTGGAAGAGGAGAGAACAGTGCGCGCGGGCTACTTTGCGGAAGTCTACTGGTAGCAGAGATGAATTTTCGTGCGGCGTGCATCTTGCAAGAAAGCGGGGATCACGACGATGACAAGGCATCATCATCCCCAAAACAACCCCAAGCACATCTACGCCTGCCGTCCTCATTTGGCAATTTGTTACGAGTCTCATCACGAGGAGATAGTCGTCTTTCATTCGACCTGAATTCTAACCTTCTTGATTGATGCGATGGTAGCACACCCTCACATACATGCGAATGAGTGTGACATGTCATTGGCAGTCGGGAAAACAGCGCATGTGCTAGTAAGCGACCGACGACAAGAAAGCAAGCCTGTGGAAAAACGAGTCTCTACGATGCACAACAGGGGAATATCTTCGCCCATGTCTGCCAGATGGTTAGACGAGGGCAAAAGAGCGTCTCGAAAACAACCCCAAGTACCTGCTTGGCCTCATCGAGTTGCTCCTGCGCCCTGGCTTTGGCCTGGTCGTACTCCCCCGACGCGTCCTGACCGAGCTCATCGTGGTTCTTCATCACGTAGTCCTCCGTCTGCTTGCCAGCTTCCTTCGCAGCACCGCCGGCGTATTTCTTCCCCATGTCCTTCGCGAACGAGTCTTGCTTTGCCTCGGTGGGTCGTTCGGCTGCACACCAAGTCAGGTCTCCCAAACAGAGACGCATGTGGAAGACTCACACATATGCGGGGTGGATCCGGGTTGCTGCTGCTGGAAAGACATGTTCTTTTTTGGACCAAAAGCAAGGAACGTGGGGGCAAGTTGATTCTTGAAACTTCCAGGCCCGCCCCCCGTCCTTTATGAGAATATCGCATAGACGCCACCACCTGTCCCTGACATACCCATTCATTCCGCCGCCCATTCAGACATTCACCCGTCAATCAGATGTCGCCGTTTATGGGAGCGATCCTTAGCCATGGTCGATCCCCTGTCAGTGAGCCCCTTGGTACCGTAACACAATCATATTCAAGAGACAATGTGCGTCAAGTAGTACATGTACTACTCCCGAACATTACAGTCGAGAGGGAGATAACAAGTCGGGAAAGATACATACAACAGATCGCCAGTGGAAATGGGCACCAGACCGCTCCGCGTAGGTAAATGAAGAAGAGGAGAGATATACACACATACAATGTACAAGCAGCCAGCGCAGAGGATGCTGGTCATGTAGATTGCACATAGATAAGATAAAAACGACAGCAGAGCAAAGCAGTTGGTGATTGCATGATTGATCAAGCCTGGGAAGAATCCTGTTAGGGACAGAATGACAAGCGAAGCATGAGGGGGAAGTGAGACATACCTCGACGGCAGCTTCAGTCTCAGCCGCAGCTTCGGCCTCGGCTTCTGGCTCTTCTGCAATGGTTTCCTCGACAGCAGGGGCAGCAGCGGAAGGGGCTTCAGCATCCGCCTCGAGGGCCAATCAGGACCAGTTACTGCTGAACAACATAAGACCATACCTTGGATACAGGTTTCTTGGAACCAGCCCGAGAGGCAGGCTTGACGGAGGCCGTGCTCGCGGGCTTCACAGAGGCCTTACTGGCGGGCTTCACAGAGGCCTTGCTCGCCGGCTTGACAGAAGCTTTGCTGGCTGGTTTGACAGAGGCTCTGCTGACCGGCTTCGCGGACGCCTTGCTGGAGGGTTTGGCGACCTTGGACGCGGGTTTCACAGAGGCTTTGGAGGCAGGCTTAGAAGTAGGAGCCTTAGATGCTGGCTTAGCCTGACAGAAATCAGCTTGCGAAATAAATCAGAGCTGTATCCTCTTCATACCTTCTTTGCGGGAGGTTCTCCATCGTCCGCAGGTGCACCATTCTCGCCATCTTCAGCGGAAGGAGCTTCCTTGCGCTTCCTCCCCCGTTTGGGTTTATCTTCCTCGCTGTCCTTCTTTGCACGGGGTTTGGTGACCTTTTTCTCTTCAACCTCAGCCTTGGGAAGTTCCTTGATACGAGAAGAGCGACGAGGCTCAGCGGCCGTTTCGCCATCTGCAGTTGCCGCTGCTTTACGAGGCATTCAAATGATAGCGCCCAGGAGCAGAGATTGGTGAAAAGAGATGGCGGTGGGGAACAAGACGCGTTGGACAACAAGCTGTCAGTGTTTGGTCAACAAAGTCAGCTTCTCATCACGTGCGTCGCGTCAAATAGTTCATCACAACTTGGTCTCTAGTTCTTCGCAAGGCTAGAGAGATAGTTCTGGCGTCATCTCACATCTCATTACGCGCCTTCAATGATAAATTTCTACATACCGGTGGGTATTAATTCGACAAAGTCTTAGTTGTCCATAGCGGCGTTCACATCATCTCATCTGAAACATCAGATTAGATTACTTTCCAATCACGATTGGTTGGCCGTGATAGATCTTGCGCAGATCTCCAGATCCCCTGGTGAGTAGTTCCATCTTTGGAGAGGCTGTAGCGGATTCACGGCCTTCTGTGAACGGCACATTGGCCGTCGTGACTGGTTGCTGGCAATCCCGTTCCCACTGTCGATAGCCGTTAAGAGTGGCAGTGCTACACCTCTCTTTCCCATCCTTAGCACAGGCTGCTCAGAACTTCTCCTCTCGCCAGAACGTCAAGAGCGCGAGACCTCCCACGCATATTTCTATCTCAAAGCCTCTCTCTTCTGACTCCCTATTCACCTTGTTAACGCCTGCCATATATCTGGATGTCTGGCGCCGACGACGTCGCGGGAGCGTGCTGTGGACTCTGCTGTGAGTCCGAATTTTAGGTGATCCCTACGACTTCTCTGAAAATACGGATTGACAGGTCTGTGTGGATACGGAGGCCTGTCCGTCTATCGCCTCGTAGTGCTCGCGCGCATGTTTACTTATTTGAGTGCTACAGCGCAACATGGTGCAATGGCGCGGGACTCGGCGGCCGCGGCGGTCGCGGATGTTGTGGCAGCTGCTGTGGCAGATCCTTCAACGACGACTCCATGGACCGCTGGGATAAAGACATGGCAAGACTGCGGACTGACAAGCCCGAAACATCTCAGCCGGCGGCAGCCTCGCCTATGGCATTGCCCCGCCAATCGACAGAACGGCCTGGATCTCCCGTGGAACGGGCGGACGCGACCGGGCCAACTTCTCACGCGCCAGCATAATGCACAGGTACGGCTCTTCTCTGGAATTGCTTTCTACAAGAGAATGATGTTTGAAGGTAGTAGTAGCGGTTTCTGTCTCTCTTTTGCCTCATCAAAGCTTGTTGTCCTGCGTCGTATCATTCATGCTTTCCTGAAAATGCTATGTCGTTTCTTGAAGCTCCCTCTGAAGAAGCCTGGACGCGCTGCGATAGTAACAGATCAGTTACTGCGTTGTGTGCACATCGAAAACAGCCACTCGCCAGTCAAAGTAGAAAAGGGAAAGCAATCTTCCTTTCTTTCGGATAAGATTTTCCAAAGCGATCATGATACCAACGGTGTCCACGATATGCACGGGGGAACATGACTGCAACCTCGATGATGAAGAACATCCATGGAGGAGTCAAAAGAGGGAAGAACGACGAGGCAGGCCCAGCCATGAGGTTGCCAAGAGAGACTGTGCCCCCCAAGAGGACATGCGGGAGCCGGGGGTCGGCAGCCAAGGCAAACCCGAACCACTCAACCCACTCGCAAAAGTAGTTGGGGTAGGAGATGTAGCGGTAGAGTAGGCCGTGGGGAATGGAGTAGTGCTCTTTTCCTTCTTCCCCGGGCAATTCCTTGGCTTTGCCCTTGCTCTTCGCGTTGCGCCGGATTTGTAGCAGTATTTCATCGTGAACTACATTTCCAACGAAGCCCGCGATACACAATCCCATACCGACCCAGAAAGAGGTCGCGGAGAAGTCGGACGGCAGACCAGACTTGGGCGATGAAAGATACGCCCCCAGGAGAGAACCATTGACGATGTTGAAAGCGATGGCGCAGAGTGGGGTAATGATGTGCGACTTGGACCGAGATGGTGTTCGAAGCGGAGACAGCAGCGAACGATTCAGATAGTGCACGTAGTACGCGCCAACAAGTACGCCTTGAGGAGACCAGAAACGAAAATCACGCCAGCCCCCTCCGCCGAGTGGAGCAATCCCGAACACGTATGTGAAGAAGATCGGTGAGACAAGCTCCATGCATATCCACGCTTTGATTCCTGAATAGCGTGCATAAACATACTTCCTGTATACGCCGCGCTTGGGAACAGTGCGCACCGTCAACCAGAAATATACTTTTCTGTGCAGGCGTGAACCTTCCAAACGGCGCGTCGATGAAGAAGCTGATGGGTGCTGCGCAGAAATTGCACAATGTGAACCACCGCCTGGCACCTAGCACGCGTTGGAATGACTTTAAATCAGAGAAATACGCGACAGACCGTCGTAGAGAAGCTGTGATCTGTCCATTGCGGTTGGTCGGGTCCAAGTGACGCAACAAGCTGGCGTTCAGTCTGCGTTGATGGATTCGATTTTCCCACCCACCCGCAGCGTTTAGCGCCACGACGGCATTCTATAAATGTCTCATTCGTGTAAGCTTCGGATTACTAGGCTCATTGCGGAGAATTGCTGTCGACACATGGCGTAAGTAGGAGGGAAGAGATTGCTGACAAAGCTCTCATCGCGCTGATATCTCGACGACCAACTGGAAATGTCAGATCTACAAAACATTCATCTGCGAGAGGATTCCAGTAACAACACTACACCGAGAGTGAAGCCTCAACCTGAATCTTCCAAAATACGCGTTCCTTTCTTCTACGCTCCGAGTGACGATGGAACTGACGAGAACCTACTGATCCTCTTCCACGGATTGGGTGAGTGGTCAATTCTCCGACTGTTCTCCTAATCATTTGGAGTAGGAGACACCCACATCCCGTTCTCGAAGTTGGGCAAGCAATTCAAACTGCCGCAGACAGCAGTGCTAGCCATTCGCGCTCCAGACCAGTAAGGTCAGTCATTAACGCTTGCCCGATGTCACTAACAGCAAACTGTAGAGTTCCCTTTCTCTATGAAGACGCGTTCGAATGGTACACCTCCTTTGATCCCCTCGGCGACCTTCTCCCCCGCCCCAACCCAACTCCCGCCCTCGATCTCTTAGACAGTATATTCCAGCACCTCACGGACGACTGCACTTGGCCCACCAACCGCATCCATCTTTTCGGCTTTGCACAAGGCGGTGGCGTCGCTGCTGAGTACGGAGTACGGAGACACCGAGAAACGCTGGGATCTATCACAACCGTCTCCGGGCCACTGCTCTCGTTCCCTACACTGACGGCGCGGAGCCTGACGCCCGTTCTCGTAGCCTACCGCCCCGCTGCGATGCCTGCTACCGAGCTAGCTCCCTTCAGGAAGGCCTTTGACCGTGTCGTCGAACACAAAATGAATGCTCAGGGTGGTATGCCCGCCTCGAGAAACGAGTGGGAGCCGATCATGCGATTCTGGAGTGAAGTGCTCAGCAAGAGACGGGTCGAGGGTATGTACGAGGTGATGAGCGGGATGAGCAGCAGTACGTGAACAAATGTACACTCTGTATTCCAGGCCGTCTTTCACGTCCCAAATACATCAGAGTGGTGCATAAACGAATCCCAGCGATCGCCCATGGCCCCCAGCTCTCCCAATTCGTGATCGACACAATCACGATAGGGCACTTCACGATCAATTCTATGGTGACTTGAGGGAGGGTTGTAGCAGGATGCATCACTCTTCGGGTCGGGACTGGGGTCGAGCACTTTCTTGGGCTGGGACACGCGACCGCTGAAGACTGAAATCTCCTCGTCTGAACCTCTTAGAGGAACGCGAGTCTCGCCCAGATAAAGCTGGTGGGCATGATGAGCTTTGTTCAGCATGGATTGGAGAATAGGCTACAAGGCAGAGGTCAGCAACCCGTGAGACCGATGCACGCAACACACGGACCAATGCGCGAGCGGCACGGTTACTGGTCTCCGCAGCACTCCGAAAGACCGAACATGCAATCTGGAACTGAGGTAACGGCGGAGGATTGAGATTGAGATTGGTTCCCCGTATCGCCATCGTTCCGATCACGACAGACGCCGAGAAAGCCAGAGACCAGATCCGCCAGACCCGTGCGACGAGCAAAGGCTTCTTGGAGAATTGCTCCACGGTGTCTTCGAGGACTGTACATGCGGCGTGATATGCTGCGAGAACCGAATGCAGGAAAGGGCTCTTGCATGGCGAGATATCACGATCCATCATAGCCTGTGCGAAGAACGCCCGATGCAAGAACAGTGACACTGCATCACGATTAGCGAAATGCGACTCTAGAAAAAGAAGGGATGTTACTCAGGTCACGATAATGAGAGCGAATGAAGCTGGAGACGCAATCAAAATATCAACTCTGGTCAGCCCGTGGCCACTTACTTCTTCATGGAGATAGCGGTTCCCTCGTCGTCACTATTTGGGAGAGGCTGCACCAGATTGCGCAGCTTCTCATCGAGAGCGAGCACCTGCTCGTAGGCGGGCGTTTTGACGGCTAGGGTAATGCGGACGACGGGCAACAAACAGTGATGCGAGACGCGATGTCCCCATGCACCAACTGTGTTGCGAATCAAAATCGATCTCCTATAATCGGGGCACTGGACCTACGCCCAGTAGGGGGACCCCCGCCCCCGTACATATCCTCTTCCTCCTCTGTGGGGATTCGACAGTCGATGTACTGTGACAAAATGGATGGCGGCCGGCCAGTTACAAGACTCTGCCTGGTTCAGAACGTGCCTCATTACCTGATAACATGTATGACTCACCTGCCAGAGCATGGCGACGCAGAGATTCCAGAAGTAGATCCGTCGATCGTACGCCTGCTGGCCGCGAAATCCCCACATCGAAGGGTCAATGTCTATGTTGCCGGCTCAGTCCAGGACATTTTCTCGGTTTCGAAACATACGCATTCCCGTCTACGGGCGGTTCAGTCAGTGAAGAAGAGACCGCAAGGCGGGGAGGACAGCTGACCATTAGCGCGACTTGACAAGCCATGTCAAGAAATCCATACGACGCCTCCATGTTGGATTCTTTCCCACTTAACCCGTTGTAGATGCTCATGAGATGCAATGTCTGCACACAATTTTAGCATGCTTCTGAGGAAAGGCAAAATACGCTCACTTTGATGGTAACTATGGAAGCTTCGGACATGACCGACTGGAGCATCAAAGCGGCGCGTGCCAGCCGATAGTAGTGCTGCGCTTCCAGATTGTACGGCTGCTGCTCAAGGTCCACCAGGGCCCCGATTCCCAGAGTGATAAGAAGCACGGCGAGGTCGTGAGGACCGTACACGGTGTAGGACCTTTTATAGATCGCAGGTATCAGCTCCTCGAAAAGTTGTCGCCGAGACACGATGTGGAACATCCAAGAGAGATGCTCGAGAAACGTCTCGCAGAGAGCGACTGCGCGGCCCATTGGCGGAAGGAATGATTCTATCATCTCTTGTATGGGCTCGCGTGAAAACCCGGGCGGCATGAACGGGAACGCAGACGAACAGTGCAGGATCTCGGGTGGGAGGTAGGACGTGTCGAGTTCTCTCAGCAGGTGGGGTGTCCGTTGTTTTTCGACACTTTCGGCTTGCTAGAGATCGGTGAATACGATGGTCACAGCTTATTTCGCGAAGGATACGAACGAGAAGGAGGCTCTAAGGATCCCGTCAGCCTCAGGAAGGACGCCGTGGAACCTGGGACGTACCTCAGAACCACCAGAAGGGCCAAAGAAGCGAGATACACCCTTCCCGTCGATGTGCAAGGCTCCGATCGCTTCCACCGCGGATTCTGAAGCATCATCTACTGCCTTGAGTTTGAGCGCAGCATCGTCCAGAAATTCGGCGTCTTCGTCATCTTTGGTTTCAGGAATGTTAAGGAGCGGATGCGGCTTGTCGCTGAGGATGGCAAGCGCGTCCTCGAGGGAGTGCTTCCGGGCCTCCATTTGCGCTAGTTTCAGCTCGAGGTGCTCCGTCGCGGCCAGCACAAAGCGACTGCTGTCTCCGGGCGGTATCGTACCTGCAGGGATAGCCAAGAAAAAACATTGAGCTCACAGACCAAGCCGGACGAAAATGCGACATGCCATTCGGACACAATGCCGCGCAGCCGCTGCGCAGTCGCGGGTGTTGCCATGAGCGTGATAGCGAAAAAGCGCGTCGTTATAACGCACCGTTTCACGCAGGTGGAGCACGGCACCGTCTTGTCGCAGCGTATCTTCAGGCGGCGGCACTCCGCACAGGCGATCTCGCCCCGGACGCGTTTGGAGGCTCTATTAAGTAGGTGTCGCTGGGCCTGAGACGGGACGAGTGTCTCTTCGATCGAGGGCACTGGTGGAGGTGCAGAGCGAGCGAGGGGCCGCTCGTAGGGAGACGGATGCATCGTTCGCGGGGAAAGTGGGAGTCTGTGCGAATAACCTCATCCTGGCTGTTTGGCTGCTCGATTGAGCACGTCGGATTGTCACGGTAGTGGCGGTGATGCTGTGTAAGTCCGATCTCATCGGCGCTGATCGATGACCGGTCTCCGATCCGAGTACGACCAAGGTAGCAGCGTCTTGTCACTCCCGAAAACACCTCGCGACGCACGGCGGCATTTCTCGGGCATCGGAAGGCTCCCGCGAATTTTCATGATAAGGTCGGGCTTTGACGTTTGCTGTATGTCACGCCAAAGTGCTCACTGACCATTAAGTGGTCGCGTGCGCCACCATGACCACCGCCCTTGCGCTGGAGACTTCGCAGAAGACCTTTCTGGGGCCTTCATAGAGGTGTCGAGTTGATTGGGGCGAGTAAGTGGGTGAACCTCGTCATAACTTCGAACTTGGTCGGATGACAACACGGTCTGCTCTCGCCGAACGTGGTGCTCGAGGGTCCTTGGGAGAACCGCCAGATCTGTGGGATACCACCATCGATCGATGCTTGATCTTTGAAGCCATCCATTGTTCTACACTTTGACCACGCAAAATCTGATGCGCTTTCTGGCTCAAACCTGTTTTCTCGAAATGGATGGGGGCAGACAATGCGTCGGGACGCTTAAATAGTCTGGTCTGGATCGACCGTCTCTGCTCTCCTTGCTCATCCTTGTCGGCCGTTCTCGTCAGCTCAACTCCGAAATGACTGAGTACGATTTCTCCCCAGAGGCGATGGAGCGGTATCAGGCCACACAGAACCGGATCCAGCGATGGACCCAAGATACTTCAAGCACGAACCAGGCGGATCCGTATGCTCCGGCTATACCTGTGCCCCAACGGGGAGCCCAAGTATTTCCTGCGGCCAGTGTGCCCATGAGCACCGGAACGCAGGAGGCGTGGGCGCGCAAGAAGCAGAGTGCGGTCGAGAAGCTCTCTGGAGTGCAGTCGTCTTCTGCGGCTGCTGCGGCTGCAGCCGCGGGTAATGAGATCTACAGCTACTCTCGGCAGTCCGGACCGCACGGTTCACAGCTTACGATCCACACGCAGACCAGCAAAGGGACGTACATCCAAAGGCAGACCTACCAGCAGACGACTACTCGCGCTGCTGCTCCTACTGGGCCCGGCTTTTCTGCACCGCCGCCGCCACCACTGTACGGAGCGGGGTCTCACCGGTCCAGGGCCCCATCAAACCAGAGCGCTTACGATCTCGCCGCGACTGCGCAAGGCTCACAGCGCACCCGTGCATACTCCACCGTCGGCACTATTCAGCCGGCCAACATCGGTATCTACGCAGCAGCCCCGTGCGCAGCAGCCCACCCCGCCTACCAGCGGGACCCCGGCCACCAGCCGCGAGCGTCACAAAAACCCAGGTCCAAGTCGTCCGCGGCGCTGAGCGCGCAGTACCACGCAGCGGCTCAACAGGCTGCCCCACCCGTCCCCACCGTACCAGCCAGCTTCTACGCCAACGCGCGCGCGGCCAAATCGTCCGCGACGCTCTATGCCGCTGCCGAACCGCGGAAATCCAAGTCCAAGTCCACGTCAAAACGGGCGCATCGGGAGCGGCATCCGATCCCGCCTCAGTTCGGGCTCCACGGCGAATATCATTACGTGACTTCGGTAGGCCGTCCTGTCTCATTCGTCATCCCCGCTGACCGCTCTGTTAGTCCCAGATATCGATCCAGCCGGTTCCCGAATCGCACTCGACAGCGGGCCAAGTACTTGCGCACCAGCCCAAGCAGTCGCTATTCAAGCGGATGTTCCACGGCAAGAAGGGCAAACAGGACACACTACCACGCTCCCTCATCGCGTAGGGTTAACGTACCTGATGGACTGTTCAACTAACTGTACTCTCTATGCAATGCCAACACCATCTGAATAATGTCGTATCGGAACCTGTACATGTGTCTGACTCCGTACTGAATTCCATCCCAGTAAGAATTAGACCTAGTCCTAGAGGAGAGTTTTCTCGCTAGAAAAAGAGAATCTTGAGCCGAGATATCACATTGGTGGCATGCGCAACTCACGTGAATAGCCACAGGTTGAGCGGGTTGTTGTACGTGTCGAGAGTGTACGGGAATCGGACTGCATAGAAAGCACAAGTGCTCAGTGCCATTTCGACTAGACCAGAGCCTGAGAACTTACACTTGGCCGGCTCAGACTTGAACGCTTGATTGATCGTTAGTCTCTATGCGACACATTCACTTCGTACGACTCACCGATGGGCAGCTGCTCGTTGAAGAAACTCCACGCTAGAAATGAAAACACGCGCTGAGCAACAGCGGGATGGAAGCGCAGGGCTATGTACCAGTGCGCCAGTTGTGTCGGAAGTTTCCGTCGATCAAGCTATACAGGGTCAGATTCTCCCTGTCAACTTGTGCAGATCAATCAATCGTACAGGTCGGCAGGTGCGAGCGGATCCTGTAAAATGCTCAGCAGTGTTCCGAGGCAGGAGGTGGAAGAGAGCGATGCTCACATCCTTGAGATTCGCGGTCTTGATCTCGCTGTCGATGTCGAACCTGCCAAGCAGCGTGATCAGGTAGCGATCGCACAGCGTACAACCACGCACCATTCGAGCACTTGGTTTCCCGCCATCCCTGGCGTAGATTCACGTCAGGGGAGGAGAAGCAGGAGGAAGCAGCGAACGAACGGTACCTTTGTACTCGACCGCTTCGCCGGGCTTGCCGCCGAACACGGCCATCTTGGTGTTATGCCGCTCGAGCATCAGAGTCGTAAACATCGCACAGGTTGAGGCGCAGTTCCCGTTGCCCACTGTGTCGTCCATTCAGCCTTTGGACGCGAGAACAGGGCTAGATAGAGAGAGGGGTCCCGCACCGATGGCGATGTTGCTAGGGAGACGTTCAGACGATGGGGAGATAAGGACCAGCACGACGAGGCACACACCTGAGCGGGATGAGTGGCGACTTCGGGATGGGCACCGTATAGGTCACGTCGCACGTATCCTGTGCCGCACCCAATCAGCCACGGCACACACGGTCAGAGAGAGAGAGAGAGACGGACGTGGAAGCGCTGCGAGGTGAAGTCCTGCTTGCCGCTGATAGTGATGGGCACATCGGGGCTCATGTAGTCGTGTGTCGCGGGCATCTGCGTGTCGTTGAAAAAGCCCCAGTTGTCCGCGGTGTAGAAGCTGAAGCTCTCGTTCAACCCCAGCGCGATGTCCGACGCGACGATCTTGCGCGCGAGCGGGTTCGCCCGCAGCGAGCTCTGGAACCCGGGATACCCGAGCTCGGAGCCCGCGAGGTACTGGTGCAGGAACTGGCCAAGGCAGACGAAGCCGCCTGGAATGCGTGGTATGTGAGAAACGACTCAGAGTAGCCTAAAGCGCGTCCTCACTCACCGCCGTTGTCGTGCAGGTCGATGATCAGGTTGCGCACGCCCGCGGCGACGAATGCGGCGATCGCCGACTGGGTGTCGTTCTGGAAACCATTAAAATCGCCCTCGAAGGACCCGATGAACATCTGAACGCCGGTCAGATAAGATAACGCATGGAATCCATCCACGCACAACACCCGTTTTGTTTCCGGGCAGGATATACGACTTCATGACGCCCTGGTCACCGCCCACGGTGGGGAGCCCGGGCTGGAACTGCGGGGGGAGGCCCACGGCGTTATTGCTCGACTTGTCGATGATGTTGCCCATGGCCAGTTTGCGGCGTGGTAACGTTGGCGATAGCTTGTCGGCCCGGAGAGTTGCCGCTGCCGGCGCCGATCCTGAGGACTTGAAGTCCACCCCATTTGTGTTTGCGTTCGCAGCGCAGTTGTTAGTCCAGCTGAGAGAGTGGCGGAGCGTCAGCTGATCGGGGACTGCAGATAGATAGATAACACTCACTACGAAGCTTTGTCCGTGAAGGCCACGCCTGCGAAGCTGGCAATGTAGGGCAAAGACACTGTCTTCACCGTGGTCGAGTTCGCGAGGACAACTTTGAACTGGAGCGAAGTCTGCGCGACACCCGTCGGGCCGGCGAGATCACCTGGAAAACATCCGCGTCACACGACCGACACGGAGATAGAAACAAGACGTACCCAGTCGCTGGGAATAGGCGGCGCCCGTGAGACGATAGGACGAGAGGACCGAGTTGACGCGGACGCCGTGATCGAGGTAGTTTCCCGAGACCGTCGAGGCGATGTGGTCGATGTACGCGTATGGCTCCTGGCCCTCGATGGCGAGCACCCTCGCCCCGGCGAGCTGCTGCCAGTCGACGTGGGAGATCAACCCGGCGAACTCCGTCCCGAGAAGGCCGATGAAGTCGACCAGGTCCGGCGCGATGTACACGCCCTGCACGCCGTTCACCGCGAGCGAGACGACCGGGGCGGGCAGGATGTTCTGCCAGTTCGTGTAGCAGGACGGGAACCAGCGCGTGTGGCCGTCGTTCAGCTGCGTGATGAAGTTGTACAGGTCGAGATTGAAGTCGTAGTCGGTCTGTGCGCGGTGGTGAGCAGTAGCCTCAGCAGCAGCGGGACTATCGCTGTTGTGGTTCGGGGAGGGGGGCACTCACTGCGTACTTGGTGGTGTTAATCCTGGCCAGGTCCGCGCGGATGTTGGTCGTCGACTCTTGGAACGGAGGCGGCGAGTTGAGGTAGTAGTCCTCGAAGGTGAAAAAGTCGAACACCCGCGCAATGTTATGCGTGAGCACGTTCTGCCGCAGCGTCTCGTTGAACGGGAAGGACTTGAGGCATGCCAGGGCAGCAGCGGGGAGGACGAAGGCCTGCCCGGCGATCGCAGCGCATGGGTCCGGGTGGCTCGACAACACGGGGGCGGCGAGGAGCGCAGCGGTCAACGACACGGTGAGCCCGAACATGGTCCGGAAAAGCAGCAGCGAGGACTACGCTCTCCTTGCATCGAGTATATATAGCAGGAATTCCGAAGCTTGTGCGTAGACCTGGTTGCATCAGATTCGCGATAGTGCTTCCACATGGCCGTTATCAGCTCCCGGATGAGCCATGTATGGTTTCGAAGAAGCGCCCATCATTCGTCGTGGAAGCCGGAGAGTGTTCCGCGTGTGGGGGGATGACAAAAGGATGCGAATCGTGGAATAGACTTGTTCGAGATCCAGGGCTTAAATGATCTTGGGGTAGTGTAGGAGGTGCGAGCGCCGCGTCGGAGGCGGACACGCAGTAGATCGGGGAGGCAGAGATCTTGAACCTGTGCGTCTATCTGGCTCAGCAGGACCAGCTCTTTTTCACGTCTGTGTCGATTATGTTATTGCGAACAAGGATGGACAACAGAAGTCAGGTCTGATTGAGCGGCTGCAGCTTACGTCAACAACCACATGTGATCGAAGCTTTTGAGTTGGATGCAGAAAGTCAGAGGTATAAGTACGGAGGGGTGAAACGGATGGCGGAAGAGATTACATCTACAGATTCTTCGAGAGAAAAACAACATGAAGTTTGAGTCATGAAAAGATGAAGCTGCGTCATCCGGGAATCGAACCCGAGGCTGCCCCTTGGGAAAGGACCATGTTACCTCTACACCAATAACGCATGCTTCAACTGCAAGTTTGATTCACCTTAGTCTTAAATATCAATGATGATATTCAGGTTGCGAATTGGAACCTCTTGTTTCAGCAAGAGTATATGAACCAGTTTGCATGAGAGAACAAAGATACTAGAGGCTCATTAGCATAGCATTGATTCTGGAATGAAGAAATGCCTTGCACATCTTCAAAGGAGTGGGATCATTGATCAGCATCGACTCCTCAATTTCCATGAGGAATGAAAAAGATAGGTCAGGCAGGACATACATGAATATTGTATTGTGTACATCATCAGGCCATTGGGTCTCAAGTCAGTTCACTGAGATGATGCTCAATCAGCAATTCATTCAAGCATTCACAGTGTTCATCTTTCGAATACAAGAAGCTGAAAGCGCACGTAATGAATTGCACAAGTGGATTCTGGTGTGTGTCTTTGCTTGTTCAGCCGGGACAATTTGATTTGAGAGATGTGAGGTCAAAGGCCCGGCCAGGCAATGTTGCGTTAAACCAGTGGTAAGATACATGTCAGTGACAAAAGATCGAGGGAAGCCACAAGAGCAAGCGTCTGCCTGTGGGAAGCTGCAGATTAGATGCCGTCGAGGCAAGCTGTCGAGCGACATGGATACTTTTCATGTGCAGGTGACTACACTCAGGTCCATCCATGCAGTGACTGGATCACTTTTGAGATGTGAAGATATGGAAGGAATTCACTGTTTTGATCCAGGTTTTCGAATGCTTTGAGTCTCTTCCAAGAGATCGGCGGAGTTGGCACGGTAGCAAGCATCGGAATTTCAAAGGCAGTTGCTCCTGATCTTGATCCGATCAACGACGAAACGCGCCCCACGTGACGTGTTGAGACACCCTGTGGGGCGTGGGTACGTGACCGCGTGGCGTCACACCAAACAAACAAGCCCAGTCTTTCTCATCGCTCTTCGATACCACAGGGCGCGCGGCTCACGATGAGCAGCAGCGACGACCCGTCGACCGGGTATGGGTACGGCTATGGGACTGCTACGTTCACAGGTGGGTGGCATCCTTTTGCTGATGCGAGCGCGCATCCGGGATCGAGGTTAACGCGCTGCGCAGATGTATCACCAACGCGGGGTGGGTCGACGAACGGCTACACCACCGACACGCGGGACGATTACACCGATACCGACACGCACACGCAAACGTATACCTATACCACGCAAACCGACAACAACTACACCACTACCGACAACTACACGCACGGGGACCGGGAGGAAGAGTATACCGACAGCGACTCGCTCGAGGAAGTTGAGGCGACGCTGCAGCATTCTGATGAGGAGTACGACGAGAACACGGCACCGTGGGTCCAGCACCGACGCGCAGCAACCTCCCCGTCGGGGTCGTACACGGGGACAGGATCGTACACGGGTACTGGGACGGGGTATACGGGTTCCCCGTCGTTTGCAAACTTGCCATCATTCAATCT